TCTTCGTTGCTTAACACACATTTTTTCAATTACTTCTTGTGTTGTAATCGGCACATCATTATGTACCGCTAACATCGTTAAACCATTCAGCCGCTCCTTAATTGTATAAAAAGAACGGACAAATAAGATAGCATATTCAACAATTGAGTAGTCCACTAGCAAAGTGCGCTATGTAATTTTTTTTTTAGATTTTTAGTTTTTGGTGGGTTTCATGTCCACTAACAGCAGAGTGAAAAATTTTTCTATATTCTGAAAAAATAGCATGAAATGTTAACTACTCTTGCAAAAGTCGCTTTTATTTTTTATTTATACACTTTCAAATGTCTCCTCTTCGTATGAACTTAGAAAACTGCAAGAAAACGTGGTAGTTTCGGTGCCTAGTGGAAGAAGTCGCAAAAAAGAAGCAAACCAATCTTCCTTGAGGAGAGAACGTGAAAAGCTAAAAAAAGTTAGCTATGTAAAAGTTACTGTTTCAAAACTTGCAATATTAAATTTTTAAATATAAAATTTGCAATTCTACCATACTGCAATTTTATTTTTTTAATGGTATTAGGCTCTTATTTATCCAAATTTTCAGGTAATAAAAAAAGATACAGTTCGGATGTTACTTGTTGTCGCAGACGTTTTATTTTTTAATTTATGGTTTACTTTTATAAAATCACATAACGCTGTTTGCAAGTGGACTACTCATACATATATTCATTAAAAGATAATTTGTCATCCGTCTGAAATAAAAAAAATTTAAATCAGAAGGATAAAATAGTATTGTGTTATTAATTCAAAAGTAAATAATTGTAGTTCAATGACGAAGGGGGGGATCTATCCCCCCATATCCCCCCCTGGCTACGCCACTGACCTGGCAAAACCATATATATGCATACAAAGATACGTAATATCTTCAGTGCGTTTGAAAGGCGCAACGCCCCTTTTAAAACAGCCCAAATTTTCTCTAAGAGTATGGAATTGGTTTCATAAATCTCCATACCATTTTCGAGTACTCTATCATGAACACTTCCAGAGATATGCAGTATTAAGAATTCGGTTTGTATGGGAGGTGCACGCCCCTTTTTCCAATAGCCCCAATTTTTCTTCATTACTATGCGGTTGATTTTATATGTCTTGTACATACCAAGTTCCAGTACTCTACCTCGAACCCTTCCAGAGATATTCAGTGTGAAAAATTCTGTTTGTTTAGGAGGTGCCACGCCCCTTTTTCCAATAACCCCGATTTTTCTTCATGACTACGTGTTGTTTTGTACATACCAAGTTCCAGTCTACCATGAACACTCCCAGAGATATTTATTTATTTATTTTTATTTATTTTTCTAGTAGTACAGGGTAAGGCTTAGGTCTTTTAATAGTACTTCATCCATTATATACTGTACGTGGAAAGTAAAATAGTAATGACAATGACAATATTTACTTAAACCTAAATTAAATTAAATTACAAATTATCCTTAATAATTAAATAAGTGTAAGGAAAGAGGAAATAAATAAAAAAAGTATATAAATGGAGAATTGAATTGTAAAGGAAGAAATATACACGTTTAAGAGTTTTAAGAGTTTAATGCCCTGATACCCTGCGATCATACTGTTTTAAAATAGTTATAAATTAGTGTCTTGTAGTTGAATCTGCCTAGTCCAGCCTTTACGGACTCCGGCACCCTAGCCGCGTAAATGAAGAATAGTCTGGTGGATTTTAGGTAATTAAATTTTGGAAAAATAAGACTGTGGTGTGTTCGTGACTTGGCTGGTATCAACTTCTCAAACAGATAGCAAGGCATCCTCCACACAATAAGTTTCTACATAAATATACAATTTCTAGCTGTCAGGTAGTTCTCAAGGCTGCAGCCTAATATCTTTGTCTGCCAAGGAGAAATATGTTCGTATCTGCTGATCCCATATACATAACGTGTAGCATTGTTAAAGGCAACATTGACTTTATGGCACGATATCGAATCTAATTTACTGTACACCACCTCAGAGTACGTGATGAGTGGCAAAATCAGTTGAAGTACCGCAAATTACCTGGTTTCCACTGGAGTGAATGCAGCAGACACCCTTAATTTGCGCAGTATGGCATACACGTTTCCTACCATCTTATTAACATGGTCAGTACACGTAAGTTTTGTATTAACAATGAAACCAAAATATTTTACCTTTTCCGTAAAACTTAGCGAACTAGAACCTATCCACAATTTGGGAATATTTTCAACACATACTACATTGTTACATATAGGCAAGATGTATGACTTTGACACATTTAAACACAACGAGTTATCACTATCCCAAACAGATATTGCAGACAAGTCACTGTTTATTTTGAAACATAAATCTTCAACTAGACCAATACGACTGGACAAATACAATCATACGTCGTCAGCATATGCATGCACATTCACAAAAAGAGACTGAATAAAAGCGGACCAAGGACAGATCCTTGTGGGACACCTGTATTTACATATCTTGAATTTGAAATTGAATTACTTGACTTGACTTTCTGTGTTCTATCCTTATCCTGATCATGAGTTTTATTGAACTTCTACTGAAACCAAAATAATGTTCCAGCTTAAGACAGAGCAAGTTATGATCCACAGAGTCGAAAGCCTTCGAGAAGTCGAGTAAACAGAGAAGAGTCAAGTCACCATTGTCAAAGTTAGTTCTTATACCATCGAGTATTTTAGTCATTGCAGTCGAGCAACTATGCTTTTGGCTGAACCCGGATTGTAATGAGGAGAGTAGATTTTTCTTTTGCACGAATGCCGAAATTTGTTTCGCCATCAAGCTTTCACAACCCTTAGAGAAGGCAGGCAATATTCTTATAGGCCTATAGTCACTCAAACTGCTAGCATTCATCTTTTTCGCAACTGGCAGTTTAATAGCTTTTTTCCTAATTGCTGGGAAACAAGAGGTTGTAAAACGATGATTTATTATGTGGGTTAGATAAATCCCATTACAAGTTTTACAAATTTCAACGAAATTCCATCCTCACCTATAGCATTGGACTTAATATTCGATAGTGACCTCAGAGCGTCAAGCTCACTAACTGTCGTGAATTGAAACTCGTCTTTTAAATTGGTACAGGATGAAAAATCCATTGAGGCGACAGTACTTTTGGTTATACTACTGACAAAGTAATCATTAAGCACATCAACGTCTATATCACACTCAGATCTTTCTTTACCATGTATTTTAAAATTCTTTAGATTGCGTCATAGCTCTTTAGATGGAAGGGAGGTATCTAGTTTAGAATTGCTATACCAGCGCTTTGCTTGCTTTATTATACTGTTGGTTTCATTATTAACTTCTGCGCCAGGACAAGTCTGTACTATTTTTTCTCCACTTTGCATACAATTTATTTCGTTTCTTAATGGCAGAATGAACTTTGGAAGTATACCATGGACATGAACAATTTATAACATTAGCAGAACGAAGAGGGACATGAACATCAAATAACATGGTCAGGTGTTTGTTTAGGAAGTCAAGTTTATTATCCACTGTGGCAAGAAAAAAACACTCACGCCAATTTACTTTACTCAAGTCAGAATGTAATGAGTTTACATTTAATGATTTAAAATCACGATAAACAAATTTAGTGCTTAAGCTTGGACGATTCAATACAACATCTACAGTACAAAATATTAAGTCATGGTCAGAAATAAAGTAAACTTGGTCAAATTTAAGGATATGCTTGAGATCACAGGTTATAAAGTAGTCTAGGAGACTAGGTGGAGAATTATTTGCATATCTCGTTGGGATAGATCCATTAACAACGCAGAGTCCTGCTGTTGCCAGCTGATCCATTAATTTGCAACTATAAGAGTCATTCACAAGTAAATTTACATTAAAATCTCCACAAACCAATATACGCCATACGCTCATAATCTAACACATATTCATACAGTTCAGCAAAAAATGGATCAAGACACAATTTTAGTAGGATTGTACACACATGATACAAGAATTTTGTTTTCGCCATCAGATATTTTAGCAAAGATGTATTCAGTTTCACTATAATTCGACTTTGCTAGCAGTCTGAATTTAAGATTTTTTTTGCAGTGCACTGCAACTCCTCCCCCTTTTTTATGCATGCGGTCATGCCTCAATAAATTGAACCCATTGAAAGAAAGGTTGAAGTCAGGAAAGTCACTTTGAAACCAAGTCTCAGTAACGCAAATTACATCCACCGCAGACTCTTCTAAGACGTACCTAGCAAAGTCAAGTTTGTTTCGACTTAGACTAAGTGCATTAAAATGCACCACATTAAGACCATCATTTTGTTTACACAAAATGTCAATAACAACTTTCTTATTTTCATTAACGCGGTAGCCCGACTTATCGAACAGACCTATACTTAAATTCGCAAAACTGGACCAAAACTGAAACAACCAAAAGCAAGCAAATACAGCATGTATGTATGTTTGCATAAGAACAAGACATTGGCAAAAGACAGAGTAACGCATGACATGTAGTTAAGAAAACAATTACGAGTTCAAGAGAAGGGTAATTAAAGAATAACTTAAGATAAGACGCAGAGTAGTTATGAGGAAAGCAGCAGATGCAAGATGTTGAGCAATAGAAGAAAAAAGAGCACATACGACATAAACATGTGGTAAACATAACAGCTATACATAAACACTCGCTATCAGGTGTCTGCAGCAACAACACTTTTGACGCTCTCCATATTAATTACCTTCACGGCTTTGCACTTAGGGCGAACGCGTACATACACGTTCCCACGAACTGAGAAAGCAGCCACCAGCTTTTTATCTCTTCGTTGCTGCATTGCATAGCGCATTAGCTCGCGGTTGTTTTCCGTAAGGCACTCGTGTATATGTATTTTCCCATCTGAGTTGGAGTCAATATCACGGAGCATTAGTGGCCGTTTTTTTTCTTTGCAGAAGCGTGCTACTGACTTGAAGAGGGTGGAGCGATCGGCTGAAGACGCCAACTTNTCATAGCTCTTTAGATGGAAGGGAGGTATCTAGTTTAGAATTGCTATACCAGCGCTTTGCTTGCTTTATTATACTGTTGGTTTCATTATTAACTTCTGCGCCAGGACAAGTCTGTACTATTTTTTCTCCACTTTGCATACAATTTATTTCGTTTCTTAATGGCAGAATGAACTTTGGAAGTATACCATGGACATGAACAATTTATAACATTAGCAGAACGAAGAGGGACATGAACATCAAATAACATGGTCAGGTGTTTGTTTAGGAAGTCAAGTTTATTATCCACTGTGGCAAGAAAAAAACACTCACGCCAATTTACTTTACTCAAGTCAGAATGTAATGAGTTTACATTTAATGATTTAAAATCACGATAAACAAATTTAGTGCTTAAGCTTGGACGATTCAATACAACATCTACAGTACAAAATATTAAGTCATGGTCAGAAATAAAGTAAACTTGGTCAAATTTAAGGATATGCTTGAGATCACAGGTTATAAAGTAGTCTAGGAGACTAGGTGGAGAATTATTTGCATATCTCGTTGGGATAGATCCATTAACAACGCAGAGTCCTGCTGTTGCCAGCTGATCCATTAATTTGCAACTATAAGAGTCATTCACAAGTAAATTTACATTAAAATCTCCACAAACCAATATACGCCATACGCTCATAATCTAACACATATTCATACAGTTCAGCAAAAAATGGATCAAGACACAATTTTAGTAGGATTGTACACACATGATACAAGAATTTTGTTTTCGCCATCAGATATTTTAGCAAAGATGTATTCAGTTTCACTATAATTCGACTTTGCTAGCAGTCTGAATTTAAGATTTTTTTTGCAGTGCACTGCAACTCCTCCCCCTTTTTTATGCATGCGGTCATGCCTCAATAAATTGAACCCATTGAAAGAAAGGTTGAAGTCAGGAAAGTCACTTTGAAACCAAGTCTCAGTAACGCAAATTACATCCACCGCAGACTCTTCTAAGACGTACCTAGCAAAGTCAAGTTTGTTTCGACTTAGACTAAGTGCATTAAAATGCACCACATTAAGACCATCATTTTGTTTACACAAAATGTCAATAACAACTTTCTTATTTTCATTAACGCGGTAGCCCGACTTATCGAACAGACCTATACTTAAATTCGCAAAACTGGACCAAAACTGAAACAACCAAAAGCAAGCAAATACAGCATGTATGTATGTTTGCATAAGAACAAGACATTGGCAAAAGACAGAGTAACGCATGACATGTAGTTAAGAAAACAATTACGAGTTCAAGAGAAGGGTAATTAAAGAATAACTTAAGATAAGACGCAGAGTAGTTATGAGGAAAGCAGCAGATGCAAGATGTTGAGCAATAGAAGAAAAAAGAGCACATACGACATAAACATGTGGTAAACATAACAGCTATACATAAACACTCGCTATCAGGTGTCTGCAGCAACAACACTTTTGACGCTCTCCATATTAATTACCTTCACGGCTTTGCACTTAGGGCGAACGCGTACATACACGTTCCCACGAACTGAGAAAGCAGCCACCAGCTTTTTATCTCTTCGTTGCTGCATTGCATAGCGCATTAGCTCGCGGTTGTTTTCCGTAAGGCACTCGTGTATATGTATTTTCCCATCTGAGTTGGAGTCAATATCACGGAGCATTAGTGGCCGTTTTTTTTCTTTGCAGAAGCGTGCTACTGACTTGAAGAGGGTGGAGCGATCGGCTGAAGACGCCAACTTCACAATCACTGAAGCAGTGGAGTTGTTCTGTTTTGATATTCTAAACGCAGAGCGAATCTGTAGCGCAGGCAAATCCAAACTCTGGCACAGACTACCAAAGGTAGCTTCCAAATTCTCGTTGTCAACGTAGGGGAGACCATTGATGATAAAATCAGTGGATACAGCAAGGTTTTGGCAATCATTTACCTCGTTTGGAATTCTGCCTTTGTCACACGTTCTTAAATTTTTCGCAGCGCCTTTCGAAGGTTCGCCAGCTCAGCCCTTAACTCGCCAAATCGTTGCATCACTCGCTCTTCAGACGTTTTTACCCGCTCAGCTATCTCTTCTACAATGCTCCTTCTCTGCAAGTCCAGTCGCTCTTCAATGCGCTCAAGCCATGATGACGGTGGCGAGCTCTTTTTTTCAGCTTTATTGAGAGAACTGTTCTGCGGTGTCGATACCGTTTGGCGCGTAAATTTGCTTCTTGTTGACATTGTAAGCTTTGCTTGAAATTAAATTTAGGCAATTTGTTAAATATAAATATCGCAAACACAAAATATAGTCAACGAAACTACTCGCTATGAGGTGTAGAGATAGATTAATGAGACCCACAATCACTTCAAATGCAAATATATCAACGGAAACTTGGACTAAATGTGAAGTTACTACAGAGCACCGACAAACACGTCTACTTAGCTTGACATCTGTATATATTATTTTATATTATATAGCAGTGTGACAACTTTATGAATATTTCCTCAAAAAGTGAGGAATTTCGGGTGCGCTTGAGTATTTTGTGAGGATTTTTATTTTGAGGAATTTTCTCGATATATTTGCAGATAACAAATGTAACCATGTTTTACAAAACAGAGTGTTAAATCGCTCTGCAAATTTTTGAACAAAAAGCTTTTCGAAATTTTATAAAGAGCGAAATACACCACACAAGCGGCTTGACAAACATTCTTCAAACCAACTTTTCCCATTTCGCCATACACCACGCAAACATGACTCGTTCAAGCAAGGAATTTTAGTTTTCTTCCGGTTCACAATGTAAAAGGGTATGGTTTTCTTCGATTTTTCTCTCTTGTCTCCTCATTCCGTGAAAATTCCGTCGCGAATGAGGCGATTTTACCATACACAACGTAAGCGGTTTGATCAAACGTCAACGTAACGGCCAGAAAATCAATAAATTTTACTTTTTGTTCACATTTCCCTCAAACGGCTTGTCAAACCTTCAAACACCCCCATACACAACATATGTATATAAATAGCTTTAAGCAAAGGGATATTTCGTTTGGTTTGTCAAGCCGCAAATTAAAACGCCAAAAAAAATTATTTAGTGCCTAATGCCTTTTTTAGTGCTTTTTTTCTGAACTAAAATTACTTCGAGATAGTAAAACTTGAAATAATTTGGAATATTTAAGGCTGTGGCAGCACTGAATTTACAAGAATCTACAAATTTAAATGGACTAAAATAAAACCATGATTGATAAAAATCTGAAGTTGCAAACCCACCTTGTTAAATGCTATTCGCGTTGAAAATGCTAGTACGCAAGTAAGTTAAGTATTTGTTTTTTTCTTTTCTAATTATTTGTAAAATTTTTTATTGTTTTTACCACCTGAGTTAAACACATCGTTTCTTGGTGCTGAATCCAAATCTGGCCTCACAATAGCTATAGCACTAGAATTTTGTGATATCTTAACCTCAAAGTGCCAAAAACCCGGTTTTTAGCGATATTTGAGGTTTCAACATGAAAACATCAAGGTATTTGCTCATTTCTAATTAGGGCATCATTTTCGTTTGATGCGATTCGATTTTTCTTTCTCGAGATATACCAGTTTTAATGTGCAGTACTTCGGTATTATGTTATGAAAAAAGCATCCCTTGATTCAAAAAAATTTGGTGCTTTTAGTGTGGTAAAACGCTTTTTTCCAAGTTTTTGGTGCTTTTTGAAAATCAAAAGATGACTACACTGGTCTTAAAATCAAGTGGCAATATAAATGCGAAATCCGCGGTCATGTTAAAGGCAGTTGCAACAAAGATATGGTTCATATGTCTGCCTCTGTGTTGCCACCCGATGCTTTAGGATCAGGGATGATAAATGAGTTTTTTAGTTTTGTACCAAATGGCCAAAAAAAGTGTACTAAATAAGCCGAAAAAGTACCAACATTTAAAAGACCATACACACATAGTTACATATACATACGTTTTTAGATTTTCTGTATAAAAATCATGATATAAAACATGGCGTGTCGAAGGTGGAACACATAAGCACAAATCACTTGTTTGAAAAGGCCACCAAAACGCCAAGGTAATGAAGAAATGCATACAAGTTATACTTATTAACAGCTAGTAATACAAAAATTAAAAATAAAACCGTTGCATTTAACGGAATGGAAGTTTTATAAAAATATTTTGCAAAATAATTCCTTTTATAGAAATTAACAAGTTAATAGCAGTGTTCTCGTACATAAAATCTTGCAAAGTGGGGGAAATCGAGAGCCCAAAATGACACTGAGATCTGGCACTTTCTGCTGGAAAAAATTTTACCCGCGAAAACTTGCAAGGAAATGTCTGCTAACCACAACATGTGTTCGTGAATAAACAAAAGAAAGGAAGAAAAGTTTAGTTTAGTTAATTTACTATTAATCTCTTATTTTATAATTTTCGTGCGTCAACTATGGCTGCCGTATAAAATTATTTAATTGTGGAATTGTTGGCCGGAATATACGCAAAATATTGAGAAATATACCAAAATAGATAATAATGCTGAAAGGTTCTGACCGAATTTGTCAGTTGATCGTTAAAACGAAAATGGGATAATTTTAAAGACACATTTGTAGCTATATCTACTTAATTTTTGTGAAACAAGGAAGGGTGCTTGGAGGAGATTATTTTATTTTTGCATGTCTCATGATGTGGTATCAAAAATATTTTGTATAAAAAAACTTACCTACCTATCAGAAAGTCAGAATGGCGTAAGTTTTACTGCGTTCAATAACTTTTTCTGATATTTTAGTTTTCCCCTTAATTTTCGGCTGCTAGTACTTACTGGAAATTTTTATGACTAGACCTATTATGACAGAAACTTTTTTTTTATTTAAGTAAGAGTTTCGTTTTTGATAAACACCCCGTATTTACTTAAATAAGGTAGAAAAAGATGACTATATTTTTTCGCACAAAAATTCAAAACTCCAAGTAAATAGAGTGTAGTATTTCGACATAATTGTAGTGCAGTACCGTATGTTGACAAAAATGTATCAAACATGTCAATGTATTACCAATGTACTTTTGGATTCCAAAATGTACCAAAAAAGTACAATTGTACCATCAATTTCATCACTGATTAGGATGCGAGGGTAATAGCTCAGTTATGCATACTTTGCACTGCTATGCCATTATTGCATAAAAATTATTATAATTCATTAACTAGTTAATCACTAACTTAATATAAGTTGTATTTTTGAGCCTAGTCAGTAAAGTGTAGCGCTGTAGGTTGGGTATCCGCTTACACGCAAATCTCATTAACAGATTCCTTATGTGACATCTCTCATGCAACGCCAAGAATGCATAACTGGGTTAATCCCTACAGATCTAATGACCTCGTCAAAGTTAGTCTTTCATATCAATTGATAAACCACCCTGGTCAGATATTCACACAATAAACTATCAATTTTATATTCTTTAACATAATTACAAGGTTTTAGTCCATGTTTTGTATATCACCATGTTGTGCTGTATATCCTTGAATTTGTAAAGCTTGCACTTTTGAAGGGCGGCAAGACAATAATTGAATAGCTTCAGTCAATCCATCATGACTTGCTGCACAAGACTGCCAGTTTAAATCTGAAAAAGAAAGTTCGAAAGTAAGTACCGAATGCTATAGTTCAGGGGTGGGCAAGGCCGAGGCCGAAAAGAGCCACACGTAAATTCAAATGCTACAAAGAGCCAAAAAAAATAACAAAAATTTTATTTTAAATAAAATTATTATTAGAAATGAAAAATATTAATTTTATTATTATTCTAATATATGTACGTAAGATAGATACTAAAGAACATTTAAAAGATTCTTTGGCTAAATTTCAAAATCTGGTTTTACGTCAGTTAAAGCCGTTTATAACAGTTCTGTTAAATGTTGGTTAGTCAATAGGTACTTTCGTTTAAAATCTCCAGTAAAAAATGTCCAACAGCGAAATTCCGGTTAAATGTCATCTATGCACTCACAAAAGAAAAATATCCAAAATATTTAGTACACAGTAAAGAAAATTTGCAGAAACTTGCAAGTTAGACGAACAGCTGATAGAAATTTTGTTTACATTCAAAAGTATAAAACTGAAAACGTAAGAAAACAAATCCTGAAATCTTATCTTGACACAGTTCACTGACTAAACGAATAATTACTTACTTGTTACAAGTTTAATTAGTTGCATTTTACTACTTTAACTTCCAAACCATCAAATTCGACCGGCTGTTTTTGATCAGCTGTTTTCCAGCAGAAACTAGCAGATTTACCTCAAAATGAAATGTCCTTTTGATAATTCAAACACAAAAAGCTGATAGTTTTTATAACTTACAATGATTGTAAGGTACGCGAATGCAACTAATTGTGAACGATATTTTGACTTACGAATTGTAGAGTACAAAGACTCACAATTACCCGTTGTACCAAAAATTGAAAATATATGACACGCAACTGTTTTGAACAGCGGATATTTTAAATCTGGTACTTGTTGCCGGAATTCAAGCAATGACAAAGCTTTATGTTGCATTTCCAGTGCCTAATTTTCTTTTAATTCCAAAAACTCCAACTATTCTTCGCTTTTCTTAAAAAGGAGTATTTCGGATGTTGTAAATTCATCCTCAATTATTTTACATAAAATCATTTCAAATCGGCAAATCTTTCTTCAAAATCTGCTTTTAAATCATGTGCAATATTTTTTTCTAGCCATAGAAAATTATGAAATATTCTTTTTTGAGATCATGAATAAAAAGACTTTAAATAATTTGCGACAAATCAAAAACATTTTTATTCTCTCCTTGTAGAGACAAATTCAAGTTTTGCAAATGTTCCATCATATCGGTAAAGAACATTAGGTCAGAAAGCCAATCTTCATTCTCCAGTTGCGGGTAATGTTCCGATCTCCTTTTGTGTATGTGTATGGGTCAATCCATGCAAAATTTACAAAACTTACACAAAAATTTTTTTCCGCTCAAATTATTTTTCTTTGCATTCCTTGGGTAAAAACATGATACACGTTTTTTTTTATTTGACACATACAGTTTCCGAGATATATTTTTTTGAAATTTAAGCTTGCCAAAAAAGGACTTTTTAATATATGCTTCCGCGCAAACAAGCATTTTAATAAAAAACAAACTTAATCATCGTACCATTTATGACTTTTTCTTTGCTTTCATATGAGGATTACGAGAAGTCGATAAAATTATTTTTTAATACAAAAAATTCGATATTAAAAAAATAATAACTATAGAGCAATAGAGGTATTTTAGAGAGTGTAAGAAAAAATGCTTAATTTCTTCCCTTAGGATACAATAAACGCATTTTTTACTTAATATTTCTGGTTTCACTAACAGTAGTGAGCACCTGTCTTTGTTCTATTTTGAAATAGTGTTACGCTTAAACAGCTGTTATAAGTGTTAATATTAGTTTTCCCAAAATTTGTAGATACGTGAAATATATATCTACTGAGAAACTCCGGTTGGCATCAAACTTTATATATTTAAATAACTATGCGCGCACCCAAATAACTCGCGGCGATAGCAAAACTGAAACTGAAGTTCTGAACACATTGAAAACGACTAGCTACGGGCCACAGCTTCCAATATGTTATCTTCGTTATCTAAACACTTAGTGGATGGCGACATGATTTTTTTGAACGCGGCAGCGACATCATGAATTTGTATGAGTTTGACATAAAAGCAGAGGAAGAACCTTATCTGTCGCTGGAAAAATAGAAATAGATCTAATCTGAATATAAATAAATGAAAAATAATTTGACAGCTGTGGTCCGTAGCTCGTCGTTTTCATTGTGTTCGGGCTATGAGACAAACAAGTCTGGGCATGTCATAGCGCACACTTTTCTTTCTCTACCTAGCGCAGTGAACGACATCATGGTCGGCATCAGTGTTGCCGCCTCTCAAAGAACTTTCCAACCAAGATTAGACGAAAAAGTTACCAAATGTAAGGAAAAGTAAACTTCTTTTTATTAGAAAAGAAAATAATTTTTTTTTGAAAGGTATATCATTTTAAGGCTGAAAATACATGAAATACACTCATTAGAGTGGTTCATAAACACACTACATCAGAATATTGTTATTTGTGATGAGAAAAGAGACACGTATTTTTTTATTTTGAAAAAAAAAAGTTTTTTTAGAGGTCGCGCTGTTCCGTTTTTTATAAAAACGCTGATGTTCTCAATTTTTTATTTTTGTGACACGTTAAAATGTAGCTAAAAATGTGGTTTTTACATATAATTACTCGGGTATTAATCGGGAACATTCCCTTAATTACACAACTGTCTTGGTCAGTTAGAATGGGCCTAGTTCCCGAAAATATTCTCTCGAAAATACACTAGTAAAATTAAAACGTTGATACTGAACGATTTACACGTTGTCATGGGTTGGAACTTGTTACCAGGGGGTTTTTGGGGTTGCTAATTAGGAATCTGAAGTCAGTTTTTCAAAATTCAAAATGGCGGATCCAGAATGGAGANCAAATTCAAAATGGCGGATCCAAAATGGAGATTATTTTTTTTTTGAAAAATTATTGGATTTGCTTGAAAACCGGCACTCGGGAGTTTTTGATTTTTTTTAATTCGAAATGCCGGATCCAATATGGCGATCAAATTAAAAAAAATTACTAAAATTAAAACGTTGATACTGAACTTTTTAAGCATTTTCAAGGGTTGAAACTCGTTTCCAAGGGTTTTCTGATTATAAACTTGTTGTGATACTTTCAAAATTCAAAATGGCGGCTAAGAGTTTCAAACAAATCCAATAATTTTTTTTAAGTTGGTAGCCATATTGGATCCAGCATTTTGAATTGTGAAAATCTGAAAACAGATTCGTAATCAGCAAACCCAGAAACCCACAGGAAACGAGTTCCAACCCTTGACAATGCTTAAAACGTTCAGTATCAACGTTTTTATTTTAGTAATATTTTTTTTAAATTTGATCGCCATATTGGATCCGCCATTTTGAATTTAAAAAAACTGACTTCAGATTCATAATAGGGGACCTTGAAACCTCCCGAGTGCGGGTTTTCAAACCAATCCAATACTTTTTTAAAAAAATGAATCACCATTCTGGATCCGCCATTTTGAATTTTGAAAAACTGACTTCAGATTCCTAATTAGCAACCCCAGAAACCCCCTAGTGACAAGTTCCAACCCATGACAACGCGTAAATCGTTTAGCAGCAACGTTTCAATTTTATTAGAGTCTTTTCGAGAACATATTTTCGGGCATTAGGCCCATTCTAACTACCCAAGACAGGTATGTAATTAAGGGAATGTTCCCCAATAATACCAGAGTAATTGTATGCAAAAACCACATTTTTACCTGAATTTTAACAGGTCTAGAAAATAAAAAGATTGAGAACATCAGCGTTTTTATAAAAAACCGATCAGCGCGACCTCTAAAAAAACTTTTTTTCAAAATAAAAGAAATTCGTTTCTCTTTTTTTATCACAAGTAACAATAACATGAGGTAGCGTTTATGAATTTCCAAAAAAATATTTTTTTGAATCACTCTAACATTCATATATATATTAGAAAATCATTTATATGTATGTTAACATCTTCGTAAAAATTACTAGACTCTAAGGCCCACTTGCAGAACAGCAGGTTATCTACTTAATTCAAAGTTTACCAGTTAAATTGATGAATTGAGTTGCACAATCAATAGTTAGGAGTAAAATTATAGTTAAATCGTTAAATATTTAGCCCAGCAATTTCGAAGGTTAACTTGCTAACTCTACATGACACATGTATCATTTCTCTCAGTAACAAGAAAAAATAAATTGATATTCAAAAAATATGTACATACATACATACATACATACATATTCACGTATTCATATTTCCGCCTTCCGCTCTGAGGTTTCGAAAGTCTNACACTTGCAGAACAGCAGGTTATCTACTTAATTCAAAGTTTACCAGTTAAATTGATGAATTGGCTTGCACAATCAATAGTTAGGAGTAAAATTATAGTTAAATCGTTAAATATTTAGCCCAGCAATTTCGAAGGTTAACTTGCTAACTCTACATGACACATGTATCATTTCTCTCAGTAACAAGAAAAAATAAATTGATATTCAAAAAATATGTTTTAAAACATATGTACATACATACATACATACATACATACATACATACATACATATTCACGTATTCATATTTCCGCCTTCAGCTCTGAGGTTTCGAAAGTCTGGCGTAAAAAATATATGCGATTAAAATACACCACCCGTGTTGGTAGTCCATCCAATTAAGAGAACTCCCAGAAGTGCCGCTGGTCAATTTACAGTTTGTACCTATGTATGTACGTACATACATATGTAAGTGTTTGAAATTTTATATTCAAATTCTAATAAGAAATGTAAACAAACGTCGAAAAAGAGAGAGTGGTGCCTACTTAATTTAGAAATCCCTCGGGTTACCTAACTCTGGGCCAGTTTTCAATGCGGCAAGACATTGTCTGGTTTAGGAATATAACAANTGTACATACATATGTAAGTGCTTGAAATCTTATATTCAAATTCTAATAAGAAATGTAAACAAACGTCAAAAAAGAGAGAGTGGTGCCTACTTAATTTAGAAATCCCTCGGGTTA